GCGGGTGATGCGACTAAACGCGGATCGGAGCGTGCACTTGGGGATGTTGTGACTAAGCGCGCCCTGACGCGACTTAACCCCACCACTCGTAGGAACCCAAAAAGGACATAAACATAAGCATTATATAGGGATACCCCTACCTTATTGGGCTTCATTATAGGGGGGTTTATATAGGATATCCCTTTCCTAATTTTTGCTTATGTGCTTTTTTGGGGGCCCTATTTCAGTTTCAGAACTGCAGACAGCCACTTCCCACTGATAGCGCACCGAGGCTTTTGGAAGCGCTGTAGGCCGCAACTGCAAACAGAAAGTCCTTGCTTGGAGGTTCATGGTCAGTCATAAGTAGGGTTTTGGGTTTAGGGTTTAGGGTTTAGGGTTTAGGGTTTAGGGTATAAGTAGGGTTACTGTAGTTATAACTCATTTCAGGGACTTATAACCCCACGTATAACTACCCATGAACCTCCAAGTATCACAACGGTGAAGATGCACACATCTGCGGCCACATCAGCGCCCGGCTCTTCGTGAGGGATGCTTGATATTACATGAAAGGGCGAGGGCACCAAGACTTTGTGCAGAAAGCGCAGTGGAAGAGTAGACCAAGCTTGAACCCCAATATGTACTTAAAGGATCATGGGACTTAGTAAGTAGGGTTATAATTAGGGTAATACTTATAACCCCAATTGAGGGACTTATAACCTTACTTACTAAGTCCCATGATCCTCCAAGTAACAGGAAGGAACTGGACTGGAGCCGAAGCTCCGTTACTGATGCAGGCTCGGAGAAAAATGAAGGCCACCATGGATCCGAGCTCACACAGCCGAAAGGGTCAGTGCGCGTTGTCGAAAGAGAGTGGGCAAGCAACGCAAAAGGATGGCGCAACAACTGCAGGACACATGTTTCTTGTCAAGCGTAACAAAAGGTTTGTAACATCAACAGTGTGGGTATATAGGGTTTCAGGACGGATAGGATCACCCAGCGGCGCAAGATTTGTGCCGTTCGCCACCGTGAGGCTTGTTCCTGGAGCATGCCGACGTCCACGGCAACTTGTACGGGACATCCTTTGCAGCAATTCAGGACGAAGGGGTTCTTTTTCGAACTGTGGTTCAAGGGCTGTGCAGTGTAGCTGTGAGCACATGTTGGTTGAAGCCACACACAGCTCCATGACTTGTGACTTTTGGAGTGAGTTTTCTTTAGGGTTTAGGGTTTAGGGACTTGCAGAGGATATTTGTGATCACGGTCACAACTGCATCCTGGACATTGACATCGCGGGCGTTCGGAGCTTGCATAGATATCTGCAAGACAAGGACCAGTGCTGGACCACGCTTGTGCATAAACCACCCTAAACCCTGAACCTAAACCCAAACTCAACCTTCAGAACTCTCCTACTGTAGACATTAAGACCTTGTTGCAGATAGGAATAGAGGCCCAAAGTTACACGGGTGTGTGCTGTCACCCTTTGCCACCTCACCACATGGTATCCCTCCCCACCACTATTGTGGGGTGGTCTTCTTACTTGGCCTTGGCCCTCGCCTGCACCCCTTTGGCGTGGTGGCTGTGGTCTTACTCGTCGTGCCGTTACACACGGATGGGGGTTTAGTTCCCATTCACGGTGACGATCTTATCGTCCCGGCTGTTGCCGCAGACGGCCCTGGGGCCGAAGGGTTACCATGGAGGGGGTAGGGGCCGGGAGCCGGGATCATGCTCGCAGAGTCGTGTCCTCCCGGAGGCAACCATGTTAATGGCAGTTGGGGTTAGTCTGCCTCCCCCTTGCTTTCCGTATTGCTAGCCTCGATTTAGGTGGAAGGCAGAATTCCTTGCTTACGATCGTCATCGTTTGGTTGAAGCTGTTCTTTCTCACTTTTCCTTGTTGTATTCTCTTGTATGCCCCAAGCGGGACGCTAATTTGGAGATCTGCCTCAGAGAGGCAAGATTCTGGCAGGACAACCAAGCTCACTTTGTCGAGGTGGGCACTGTGCAGTCCATAAGCCCTAAACCCTAAACCGAAAACTCTAAACCCCAAACCCTAAACCCTAAACCCTAAACCCTATAAGCCTTCATCCAACGTGCCCAAACCCTAAGGCCCAAGAGTTCTGGCCCTAAACCCGAAGCTTAGAGACTGTGCAGGGTTGAAGGTCCAGGATTCACAAGGGGCCCTCTTTGTGAAGTCTCGATATGGGGGGTTTCCGAAAATAAGGGGGTACCTTATTTTTGGGCTCCTTATAATAATGAGGGTCCCCTATTTTCAACAACCCTCATATTGCGCTCAGGGTTTGATCCGTTTATTCTGGATTCACAAAGCCTTTGTGAGGTTGGGGTTTGGAGTTTGGGGCTTCGGTCAGGCGTGCTCGCTGCACTGGCCGACTTAGTTATCGAGCTTTCAGGCATGGAAAGTCGGAGAGTCGCTATTTTGCTCACGGTCTTCTTGGGGATGTTCCAAGTCCTTGGAGCAGCTGTGCCGGGCTGCCGGGTTTGCTGCAGGTAGCAAGGTGCTTGAAAAGCCAGGGTTTCCTGATTTGTTCTTTTCTTCAGCTGCCGGTCGCGAAGGCCCCTTTTTTTCCCCAACGTTGGGCTCTTGTCTGGGGCCTTTGGTCGGGTTGGCCTAGGCGGTCCTGTGATCCCCTGCTCCTCTGGTCCCCTGGTCCTCTGGTCTCTGGTCCCCTGCTCCTGTGGCTCCCCAACGCCCTCCAGTCTCTTTTTTGGCTTTGCCACGAGTCGCCCGGGTCGCTGGCCAGAACAAATGAGATACATGATGAATTGCAGGGAGCCTGTTTAAGACATATGATGAGGGGCGTGTTTAAGATATGCGATGAACCTCGGTCGCCAAATGAGGGGGCGTGTTTAGGATATATGGTGAACCTGAATCGCCCAATAGAAAAAAGGGGGTTTTAACATATGATAGATATGCGATGACCCGGAATCGCCACATGAGGGTGTGATTAATATATATATATATATATATATATATATGATGGACCGGAATCCTCGTGTTTACGAAACATGATGAGAATTGCCACATGATAAATGAGTGGCATGTTGTAAGATGTATGATGACTTGGAATCAACAAACGAAATGATTTTGTCGTGTTCAAGATATATGCTGAAGGCAATCTACTTGCATCTGGAGTGCCGCTACGTACACGTCTGTGTGTGTGTGCAAGGAATGGGTAGTCATGTCTGCCCTCCCTCGGTTCTTAGTTTTCGCACGGACCATGCAGGTTGGCACATGAGAGGATCTCCCTAGGCATGCATCAAGACACCACCGACAAGCCTTCACACTTAATCAGCTCCCTGTCAGTGTTTTGCGTTTCTTCGCCCAGCTTGTTTAAGCCGTGCAAGTTCGCTTCAACATGACATCCTGAGCACGCATATGGATCTTTTCAGAACCCTTGATACAGACATTGTGGTTGGCGCGGCAAGGGGTCAGTGAAAAGTTGGGGGCGGGTTTGGCAATTTAGCGAAAGGGCAGAATCGGAATTGGCAAATGAGGGGTCGTGTTCAAGATATGTGATGAGGGGCGTGTTTGGGATATCTGATGAACCGGTCTCGCCCAATGGAGGGAGGGGTGGCGTGTTTAAGATATATGATGAACCGGAATCGCCACATGAGGAGCGTGTTTAAGATATACCTTTTGTGATGAACGGGAAGCGCTATAGGGGGGGTGGGGCGTGTTGAAGATGTATGATGAACCGCAATCGCCTCATGAAAAGAGAACTTGCATTGCCAAACGAGGGGGCGTGTTTCAGAAATATGATGAGCCGGACTCGCCACATGATGGGGGTTGTTTCAGACATATTATGATATGATGAACCGGAAGCGCTACATGAAGGGCCGTGCTTAAGATGTATGGTGAACTGTAATCGAGAATTGATTTCACGTGTTTAAGAAATATGACGACCCGGTATCGCACCTGCAAGTTGTAATCCCCCAATAGCTTGGGCAAGACAGGACCTTGCAAATTGTAATTCCCCCAGAGCCTGATGCAAAGCAAGACCCTGCAACTTGGAACTCCCCCATAGCTTGACGCAAGACAGGAGCCTCGAAACTGTAATCCTTCAATAGCTTGGAGCACAGCAAAGCCTTGCAAATTATTTTTCCACACTAGCCTTGACGCGAAGGCAAAGCCCTGCAAATTGTAATTCCTCAATAGCTTGACACAAGACAATAGCATCATTATCAAGCACGTTCTCGGGCAAGGTTGGCGCCTTGGCACATGTTGACGCCAGCTCACCATAAACCCTAGTCGTAGAACCACTTCGCGAGACCCTAAATCGGCGTCCGAGCCAGGCGGGGGGCGGGGGGTGGGAACGACCCCCAAGACCATAATCCCCCAAGCAGCCCCAAACCTTGAGCCCTAAACCATAAACCCCAGGTGGTGCCTGCCTCGCGCGAGTGAGAGTCGCAAACCCTGAACCCTACCGGAAAAACCCATAAGCCTCTAAGCCTCTAAGCCTCTAAGCCCTAAGGGAAAAAACCCATAGACCGTAAACCTCTAAGCCCTAAACTCTAAGGGAAAAATCCATAAATCGTAAACCTCTAAGCCCTAAACCCAAAACCCAAAACCCTAAACCCTAAACCCTAAACCCTATAAACCCTCTAAACCCTCTAAGCCCTCTAAACCCTCTAAGCCCCAATCCCTAAGCCCCAAGCGGTGTCTTGAGAAGGTTCTCCCGGAAGGCGGCCTGACCACGCTTCTCGGGTGCAGAGTGTTTAGGTACTTGGAGGATCATGGGACTTAGTAAGTAAGGGTTTATTGTTTAGGGTTTAGGGCTTAGGGTTTAGGGTTTAGGGTTTAGGGTTTAGGGTCTAGAGTAGTACTTGGAGGATCATGGGACTTAGTAAGTAAGGGTTTAGGGTTTAGGGTTTAGGGCTTA